TGGCCCAAGGGGGTGGGAGAGGGTCCGGCCCATGCTGCACCTGGGCTGGGCCTGGTCCCATTGGGGCAGGGTAGCAGGAAGCCCTCCACACATTGACTGGACCTGGGCTAGGACTGGGTTTCGCTCCGTTTGTATTTGTGTTTGTTTCAATAAAAAATGGAGCAGCTGGATATGATAGCACACACCCAAAATCCTGGCTGGAAAATCATGTTCAGGAGAACTGCAAGCTTGAACCCAGCTTAAGTAATTTAGCAACATAGCAAGCCTTGTCTCAACAAATAAAAAAAGGGCTCAGAGTGTAGCTCAGCATGAAACCCTGGGTTCAGTTCCCAGTACTGGAGGGTGAGGAAGAAGGGGAGAGATCACCTGGGGAAGAGGATAGAGTGAGAGAGGAAGGGACTGAGAAGCATGGCTAAAGGGAGAAGTCCACAGCCATATTTTATCTGCTCTCCTGAGTTCACTTTATTTATGCATGATTCTGAATTCTATTTGTATTTTGTTTTTCCAGGCCAGCTTTAATGACCATAGTTGATGGAAGCCATGTGGTTTGCATCCGTGTAGGCTCCAGGCTGATAGAGAAGATTCTCCTCCACATTTCTCCAGATTGCTTGGACAGAGCCATAGGTATGCTGTCTACATGCCTGTGGAGGTCGTTCTTGGCGGGGTTCATTCAGGGATACAAGCCCACTGTACTGTTGATGAAGTCTCTTTCTGTCAGGGTGCAGGCAGAGAATGATTTACTGTGTGAGTCCGAGGGTGGCACTTGTTTCCCTCCTGTCTCACTACAAGAGTAGGAGTGCCCAGGCTCGTTGAGCTGCATTCCCAGCTGGGCAGCAGGAGCACTCAGGCTCTGGTCTACATGAGTGAAGTCCATGCATGTGAGGTGCCCAGACTATAAAGATGGGTCACTGTTAGTAGACGGACTTGCTGGTTCCTCAGCCTTGCTGCCATGGACAGCTTGTGGCTAGGAGTGAAGTGCTGACTTCCACCTATTGGGTGATCACACTCCTTCCTGTCTTCTTGAGCCTTCAGCTCTTTCAGCCCTGAGTGGGTACAGTTCTTCTGATTGCTTGGTCTTGTAGTAGTATGTGGTCCTTCTTGCTTTTTGGATGCCAGTCATTTTGCTGGATGCTAGCACTGTGTGTAGAGCAGGATAGCCTGGGAAGCATTATCTGTGTCTGGGGATAGCCGTGCCTCTCCCAGGCCTTCAGTGGGGTGAGAGTCACCCTCGTCAGGTGCCTAGGTGGATTTGGGTTTCACTGTTGCCATGGTCACCTTTAGGTTCCCACCTGGCTCAGGCTCCTGGTGCTGGCTCATATTTGCGTAGTGAGGGGGTCTCTGTGTCCTGGTCCCTGCCCTTTCTGGGTGCTTATGGTCATGCTTAGGTGAAGAAAAGGATGATGTTATGGCTTATTGAGCTTTTTCTGCTAACTTTTAGGGTGGGAGCTATGCTGTGTAGATTTCTACATCCTGATTTGAAGTTGTTCTGGCTTTTTAGTCGCTTTACTTCATGTTTGTCCTTTTGGCTATGTTCATTGTTTTTCTCAGTGGTCCTTATGTATTTTCAGTCTTGCCTCCATTTTTCACATAGGTGCATTAGTCATGATATCTTACGGAAGCATCATTCTCTCGTCAGATAGCCTTCTGTGTTTCACCCATTCTTTGGACAGCTAAGGTTGCACTGCTGGGCTTCACTAGATCAAGTCACACTTCCTAGGTTGTAGCCCTGAATGACACAGCCATTGTGTCTGAGAGGTCGTCAGACTGTGCTGATTAGCACTCTCTAGCTTTTCAAAGTGAAAATGCAAAGATTAGCTCCAGCACTGTGGCATTGGCCCTCCAGCATGAGTGGGCCAGTACTGGGGAGGCTGGTGGGCAGGCAGGAGACAGTGCAGACTGAGCACCACTGACAGTGTCCTGGGGGTGTGGCACAGCCTGCTAAGCAACTCATCAGTGTCCTGAGAATGAAGCCACTCTAGGAGGCTGAGGTAGGAGGATGGCAAGTTAAGCTCAACCTGGTCTATTTAATGACTTAGCAAGACCTGTCTCAAAATAAAAAAAATAATAATAAAAAATAAAATAAAAAGGAGTTGGGGATGTAGCTCTGTGCAGAGGCCCTGGGTTGAGCCCCCAGTACCCTTCCCACACATGCACACATACACCCACACAAGGAAAAGAAGAAAAATGATGAATGTGAACAAATGAAAATTATGACACATCTACTCATAATTTTAGTATTTTATTACTGATACAGTATTCATTGAATAACTGATTCAAGGGTTCTTTTTAATATAAAACACAAGTACCATTGAACATCTATGATCCAGATGTTTGATCTATGAAATGTTCCCAAACTTGAAATTTTTTGAAAGCTGAAGTTATTTCACAAGTGGCCAGTCCCACAGCTGTCCGTATGCCACATGTTGCAGTCAAAACCCAGGTGCAGCAAAGACAATCTATGAAGTTTCCTTCAGGTGACATGCCTAAGGTTTGTGTTAGTTTTGGGTTTTGTCCCCAGAATACGTCATTATGTATGTAAATTCCAAAATTAAAAATATTTTAAAAACACCCGAATTCCAAACATTTCAGGTGCCACCCATTTTGGATTAGGGCACTGAGCTAGAGAGAGAAAGAAAGGAGGGAAGGAGAGGCAGGCAGAGGCAGCTGAGAGCTGAGCCTCAATGCATTGCTGTCCGCAGGACAGGCCATCTTCTCTGCCTGCTTTCCGTGTGCAGTAGGAACAGCCTGCCGTCACGCTGCACAGCCGTAGTGATGAGAAAGACAGGGACTGGATGAGCTCTTTACGAAGGTTAGGAGAGTGAAGGGACCAAGCAACAGAGGGGTGCCTTGGTGTGTGGTTTCTGTTTGGTGTGTGGGTTCTGCCTTTGGGAACATTCAGTGCTGCATGTCCTTTGTCTTCCCAGTGCCTTCCTCAGAGGTCACCTATGGGATGGTGGCTGCAGACCTGCTCCACTCCCTGCTGGCAGACAGTGCTGAGCCCCAAGTACTCAAGATTGAGAGTCATTTTGTGTTGGATGAGAACAGCTACCCGCTGCAGCAGGATTTCTGTCTCCTTGACTTCTGCCTGGACTTCTGCCAAGTAGGGCCCTGCCCTGGGCCTCATTCCAAAGAAGAGGTGCTGACTGAGCTTACTTGCATTTCAAAATAAATGGGTGAGGAGAATTTGCTTTGGGTTTGCTAAATAAATGTATTTTACAAGAAGAATTTTGCTAAATATAAATTAAAACTATTTTTCTAAGAAAATGCTGTGAAGCTTGTAGTCATTTGTTTTGGTTTTACTTGCTGGTCTTATTTCCTTGAAGTAATGCTGGCACAGTGAAGGTGATTTGTAGCAGTCCCTGAGGGTTATGGTCCCCATTCGGCTAACATGTGCAGTTCCTGGGTCCTCCAAGGCCCTTCTCTGAGTCCCACAGTCCAGCATAGAAGCTGTTCCCTCTGACCCTGCTCTCATGCTGAACCTATATCTCTCAGGCCTCCTCTTATTTCTCCCTTGGCCAGCTCAATATGCAATAATTTCCTTGACTGCAACAGGATATAGCAGAGACCATTTGGATGGTCTTGTGTTTAGTTCAGGTTTGAAGCAAATACATTTTTCTATAAAAAAGCATGATAAACGGCGTAGATGAGACCAGTTTTTACTTGCAAATGGGGGAAGGAATCCTGTGTCAGCCCATCTGGGACTCTGTACCTCACTGGGTTAGCAGCATGCAGCAATGTGTTCTTGGATGAGGGCCGAGTGGCTCATGTGCAGGGGAGGCGCTTCATCCCGAGTGCCTGCACTTGGAAACCTCCATGCTGAAGTGGATGTGATCATTTCATTGTACTGTGCTCCAAGAATTATTTTAGTTCACTGAAATTGGCTTCTGTAGTCCAGGTTATGTATGTGTGGAAGTGCACATGCATACATATACACATGCACACAGATGTGGGGCTGGCAGTTAGGTAGGAGTGAGCCTGAGAGAGCAACCGTGACAACATGTGGAAATGCAGACGTTTTATAATCTGCATTCTGGAAGGGCTAGAAGTAAAGTCAAACCAGAAACCATGCTAAACTGGCTCCTACTGCATGGGGCTCAAGTGAAAAATGACTTACAGAAGCTCTGGGAAGGTGTCCCATGCCTGCCCCTCAGTCCTGCAAGGTAGAGGTGGTGTCTTCCATGCATGCCTCTCCATGCGTCAGCTCCAGACATTGTGTGTTTGGGGTGGGGGGTTGGAGATGTCTCTGGGCCCTAAAGTCCCTGCTAAATGCTGTTAACTCTTTCCTATAACCAGGATATAGAGGAGGAAAACAGAAAAAAGAAGCTAAGATTGAGTAGATGGAATCATGAGGAGTATCCCACTGCATTATGGGATGACTGATGTTGCAGTGGCTTTTCCTCAAGTAAAGAATGTTAACTTATAAGTGTCCCATGTGCTGACAGGCCACTGAAAGAGAGGCCACTCTAATGCCTGCTAACTGCCTAAGTCACCTTGCCCTACATGTGACCAAAACAGGACATGAGAGGTCTTACCATCCTGGGAATCAAAGGACTCCTGGTCCCAGCTCATCAGATTTTGTCCCTGAATGAGGAGGCTCCAGTTGTCCCCTATCCCAGTCATCACCATCAATGGGATTGAGCCTTGTGTGACACTGGATGCCACAGGTAAGACCACAAACTTCCACCTTGACAGTGGGCCTCTTACTCTGTTTTTAACTTCTAATCTGGGCATCTGGCAGGTTTGGGGCATCAGTGGGCTCCAGTGAACTAACTCTTTACTCGTCCTGTATGTTGCTTATGGAATATTTTTTTCCTTAACCATGTTTTTTGGCAATGCCTGGATGTTCTGTCCCTTTACTGGGCTGAGACTTATTAACAAAGATGTGGACTATAATTATTTTTTGCTTCCTGAATGAGCCTACAGTTAGGACAAGGGGTGCCTATCCCAGCAATGCCAGCTTTGACTTGATCCTTACTGACCTTGCTGCTAAAACTCAGGTGTGAGCACCTACATGTCTTGGAGGGCTGTCCCTTCCATCCCACCAGTGATTAAGCTAAAAGATTCTCATTCTTTCCACACTGGAACCACAATTTTCTTCTACTTGGAACTGGGGCAACGCTTTGGCCTCTGAATTGCTCATTCAAGGAATCCATCATTTTTAAAATTTCCTGTATTTTTTTTTTATCAATGTCTTCTTTAGAAGCAGTTATTAATTCTTTTACTGTAGAGTTTTTTACAGATTGGGTTTCTTCTTTATGTTTCTGTATTTGATTCTTTAGTTCAGGTGCTATGAGTTTAGAGATTTCTTTTTTCATTTCAGACACTAATTCTGCTTTGAGTTCCTTTAAACCTTTCTGTAATTGCTTATTTACTTCCGACGCTATTAATTCATGTATTTCAGCTAAGCTAGTGTCCACTGCATTTGTTCTGGTTGGGCATTGTGTTTCCTCCATATGTTTCTGCATTTGATTCTTAAGTTCAGCTGCTATAAATTCAGAGTTTTCTTTTTTTTATTCCAGAAATTAATTCTGCTCTGAGTTCCTCTCTTTCTGCTGTTGTTTATTTACTTCCGACACTATTGATTCATTTATTTCAGCTGAGCTAGTGTCCTCTGCACTTGTTATGGGTGGGCTTGAGACCTGAGATTGCATTTTGCTCCTTGTCTTTATCATTTTGTTTAACACTGACCTGTGGCCTTTGGTGTAGAGCTTTGGTGCAGTTATATTATTACTTAATGAAATTCAGGTACTGATATACCAAGTTCTAGTTCATGCAGTTGTGCCTGGCTTGGGTTAGGCTACTGTGCCCAGCTCCTTACTGTTGTTGCCCTTGGAGGTGGGTCTGCTGTACACCTCTGGTAAGATGATCTGTTCCTGGATTAGCTGTGTGGTTTTGACCCTAGTCTCACTGCGGGGACTTTAGCTGCAGGGTTTTACCTCAAGCCTATATGCTAGGTCTGGGCTGGGTCTGGAGGGGTATGAGGAGCGGGGGCGAGAGAGCCCAGAAGCTCTCCCACACACTCACCAGTGTTGTGTTTTGGTGGGTCTGCAGGACTCCCAAGAGCATGGCAGAAGTTCTTACTCAGATGGCAGGCTGCGCTGGGTCTGGCCAGCCAGGGGAGGTCTGAATAACAAGGGCAAAGGCCTCTTACGCTGCGGGAGGTTGGTGGGCACAAGACAGAGCAGAAGCTCTCCCCTACACTCGAAGGGCCTGAGGTTGGTTGGATATGGAGGGCCCAAGGCGCAGCGGAAGTTCTCACTCAGAGGGTGGGCTGCGCTGGGTCTGGCAGGCTGCGCTGGGTCTGGCCAGGTAGGGGAGGTCAAGAGAACGCGGGGAAGTACCTCTCTCATGTGGCAGGCTGGCGCAGGACAGCAGAAGCTCTCCCTCACACTCACAGGGCCTGGGGTTGGTCGGATATGGAGAGGTGGCCTCTGAGAAATAGGCTGCTTTGCTGTGGGCTTTTAATGGCTCATCACCTTGTAATGCCCCGATTTTAGCCGTCAGGAAGCCCTGGGGCAGTTACTGTTTAGGGCAATATCTCTGGGCTGTAAATGAGACAGTTATTCCTGTATATCTGATAGTCTCCAGCCCCACTATTCTGATGGACCAGTGCCTTCAAATACCAATAGTATGCAGTGGTAGGTCTTAAAGAAACTTCTGTTTACATTCTGGTAGCACCTGAGTCCCTTTGAGTGGATTGACAAGCTAGCTTGGAGCAGATGGCATACCTACTATGTCCTTCTCAAGCACTTAGAGACAGTCCACCTGTTTTTGCACAGGCATTAGCCAGGAACTTAGGTGACCTAACTCTAGTGTATGGAGCTGTCCTATGATATGTGGCTGATCTTATCTGTTCCCCTTCTCTAACAGAGGCTTGAGTTCATCTGGTCCAGACTTTGAATTTCCTGGATGATAGGCTGTTGAGTCTCAAAGTCTAGGGTCCAGTGACTGTCCCAAAGAGTCTGCTGCTTAGGGTTTGTTTTATTCCCAGAGCATCAAGTGCTTTCAGCACAATGTGTACAGATCACCAGCCTCCTCCAAGCCTTTCTCTCATTGCTGAGACAAAGTACTCAATGCCCAAAGTTAAGGAAGGAAAGATCTGTTTATCCCACAGTTTGTGGAGCTTTCAGTCCAAACTCAGCTGGCTCCAAAGCCGGGTGGCATGGCACAGAGGCAATACTTCAAGCTGACATGAGACAGCAAAAGAAATGAGCATGAGGGGTAAGAGCAAGCCTCTTTTCCTCCCTTATACTATAAGCAGGCTACTACCCCCTATGATGTGTGTACCACTAGCACCATCTCTGTGCCCTCCTCTTGCACAAGATGATGATGTTTACAAAGTGAGGACCCTGGCTCCCCTGCTGAGTTAAACTTCTAAACTTCTCAAATTGACCCCATGTATTAACCATCATAAGGCCCTACACTTGAACATAACTTTATGTCTTCCTAGGAGTAACAGACTATGCTGGGTATAGCCTAATGACTGAGCCTGTATGAGTCCCTAAAATGAGATAATCATCAAATTCTTCTTTCCTGGGAGTAGGAACAGCAGCAGGCCTATGATCAATTAAAGTCCTCCTGGAGGTGCCTGTTTTGGAACCATCTTACAGTTATAGGTGTACCTTCAGGATCTTTAGCCAGGCTTTAGGACCTATTCAAGGGTCTGTAGGACATTTACCAGGGCAGTGTGGACACAGCAGTGCAGGGATGGCCTGGATGCATCAGGGCAATGGCTTAAACCGCAGGCCAATACACATCTACACTAAATATTTCTTGGCAGGCTACAAGAACACACATTATGGATGCTGCCACCAGTGTCCCAAGAGTCTCAAAGGCTGCTATTATTTGTGTCTGCATGTTACCTGAAAGCCTCATGCAGTCATGGAGGTTGGGCTCTTCAGAGGTGGCTGAATCTAGAGTTCGAGATTGATTCGTGGTCTGATGCTGGGATTAAGGGTGTGAGTGCTATACCCACCCTAGTGTGGGTAGCCTGCATACAATAAAAGGGACAGAAAGAATCTTGTCTCTGGCTTATTGCTTTTGCTGTCTTCTGCCACCATAAACTGTTGCCCCTCTGCTGTGTGCCACCTTGCCTTGGAGCCAGCTGATTATGGACTGAAACCTTTATAGTCTGTGAGCTAAATAAATCTTTCCTCTTTTTACTTTGGGTGTTAGATGTTTTGTCTCTTCAATGAGAGACAAGTAACTAAGACAAAAGCCTCTCTAGC